GGAGATAAATTAGAGGTAGACCAGCACGCGAAGCGAACTCTATTCACAAACCGTCACGGCGGACTCGTTTACACTTCCAAGGTCAAGTCAGGCGCGACAGGCCATAAAGAGGAGCGCAGATTAAAAAGGCGCTGCAGGCTCCCCCCGGGCCGTCCGCGCACAGACCACAGTAACCCTTTTTAAAAACATCTATCACACACCACTAGGGTGTGGGGGAGCTCCGATCTCCCCATGTGTGTGTGTGTGTGTGTGTGTGTGTGTGTGTGTGTGTGTGTGTGTGTGTGTGTGTGTGTGTGTGTGTGTGTGTGTGTGTGTGTGTGTGTGTGTGTGTCTGCGGGCGCTGTGCGAGCCGCCCTGAACGACCACAATGTTGAGCGCGCTCGAGCACCGAAGCACCGCGAGCGCCGGCGAGCACCACCGCCCCGCGCCTTGGCGTGGGTCGGTAGTACACGATGCGGCGCCCAGCAGCTCTATCATGCGTCGCACCCGCAGTGGCCGAGCCGACCGCCGCTCGAACTGGCGCCGAGTGGCTCCCAGATCGAGCGTGGCAGGCTCAGTCGCACCGTCGCGGGGCGAACGCGAACCGAGCCGTCGCCGTTCGCCGCAGCCGCCGGCCGCCAGCCGTCAGCCGTACAGCCGTACAGCCGTCAGCCGTCAGCTCGCAGTCGCCGTCGCTGCCGCCGCCGCAGCAGCAGTGAGCGAGCTCCTGCGTCGTGTTGCCGACGCAGTGTGGACGCGCGCCGCCCAGCGGCGAGCGAGCGTGCTCGGAGTTGGGTCGGCGCGCGCGCGGGCGGACGGCGCCTGTAAACAGACAGCCTGCACCGCCCACTCGTTCAAAATCTTGTGATCTTGAAGCGCACCCAGCGAGCCGGATGATCAGACAACACTCTTTTTTCGTAGCGCCTGGGAGACCCGAGCTCGCTAACAGCGGGCAGCTGTGGCGCTCCCTTCTCATGGACACACAGAAGGACAAGCTGCTCGCGAAGGCCGAGAGGCTGAACGTCTACCGCCATGGGCCGGTGGCGTACCTCAAGAAGTCCATCACGGCGCTGCTCTTTGAGAACTGGGTCAACGTGCTCATGATCTGCTTCCCGCTGGCGATCCACATGGAGGAGAACCATGGCGACCCATCCAACATCTTCTTCTGCTCGCTGCTCGCCATCGCGCCCTTCGCCGAGCGCCTCTCCTTCGTCACCGAGCAGCTGGCTCTCCACACGAGCGAGGTGCTGGGCGGCATGCTGAACGCAA